AGTATAAAAAAAAAGTCCAAACCACCACTTATCTAATAATTTTTTTCGTGACTTGATTGCATATGATCCTTACCCACAACATATGATTTTGTCGAAGTAAACGGCGTAGTCCACCGCATAATACTATTTGCTTTAACATGCAAGTGGTGCTCTTATATATTAGAATCATATTGATTAGAAAGAAATGCATAATATAAAGTGAAAAGGATAGCAAATGAAGTTAAAAAAAATGAACGATAAATAGCTTTTACTTTTTTATATGTATTTGAGTAAAATAAAATTTTTACAAGAAATGATAGAAAAAAAAGCATAAAAATATAGATTAGATCAATCACTATATAACAAGAGTGGTAGAGAGAAGCATGTGCAAAAAAGAAAATGAAATAAAAATTGTCAAATTTTGTGAGAATAAATAAATAAATTTTCTTGTATAATTTGCGTGAAATCAAAAGCCTATCTAATAAACTAATTTGAGTAATACAAAAAATAATAATTTCCATTACTTTCTAAAACTCTTTATGTAAATTACACAATTTTTTCTCTTTTTCATTTATTTTCTTGTATTCTCCACCTAACTAAAGTGAGCCTGATTTGGAGAGGGGCAAAAAAAAAAAAATCTTAGTCATATTAAAGAGGATATTTAACTTATTTTTGTCTTATAAATAGTAAGCTTAAGCTACAATAAATATGATCGTTGCAATATAGTGATGACACATCACTTGATAAATTGAGGGGCATTTTAGAAAGTGGGTTAAAAGTCACTTCTCAACTTTTAACCCACTTCTTCTCTCACCAAAAAAAAAGTCAAAAAAAAATAAAAAAATTAAAAAGTCAGTTTTTAACAATATTCTCAAAACACTCACAAGTATGGTATAAAGACATGGTCATTGCAACATTACCTTAGAATATGTGAACAAAACACAAGTTTTAATTGGTTCAAAATAATAAAATTTACAAAATTAACTAAAATCAATACATTTTTTTGCATGAAGAATCTACCATATTAAAAGAAAAAAAAAAGTGAACAAATTTAAATTTATAAAAGAAAAAATGGGTGGGTGCTCGAAATTCGTGGGTTGAATTTGGGTCGAATTCGAAGAGGGAGAGAAGAGAGGGAGAGAAGAGAGGAGAAGGAGAAGAGAGGGAGACGGCGGGTGCTGGTTCTGCCGACGTCGTCGCCTCGTCACCTCGCCATCCTCGTCGCAGCCCTCCTGTGCCTCCGCCGCGAGGAGCTCGTCGCCTCCGCCCGCCGTCCTCGTCGCAGCTTCGCAGCTCGTCGCCTCCGCCCCCCGCCTCCGCCTCTAGCCCTAATAATTGGGCCCCCTCCAGTCCTCTCCTCCTCCCTCCTCCTCCCTTCCCTTCTTCTTCTCCCTTCTCCTCTTCTTCTTCTTCTTCTTCTTCTTCTTCTTCTCCCCTCTTCTTCGTTTCTGATTAAACACAGGAAAAAGAAAAAAAAAAAAAAAACAGACACTAAAACGACGTCGTTTTGGTTTCGAGCCAAATTCGATCCACGAATTTCGAACTACCAACCGGGGTTGTTTATAAAATTGTGGTCTTGCAACCAAGTCTTTGTCCCAATCAGATAAAGGAAAATGTACTAAAATTATTCCTTTGGTATTCCATGTAACTAAGGAAGCCCTCAATTGTGACTCATTGGAAGTTTGGTTACTTTACTTTCCTTTTCTCTTGTGGTTGGAAAAGGAGAGCTGGTTTTGCCTTTTCAAAATTGGGCTTGAGATTGTCTAAGCCCATATTGGCAATATTTATTTTCAGTAGTACTTAAAATGGGCTTTGTTGCTGATTGGGCTACAACTCTTTAATCTTTTTTTTTTTTTTTTGTGTGGAAAACTTACTGATAAGTTTCGTATACAAAATTTAAAATTCATCTAATCCCAAGACAAAATACTTACACCAATTAGTCCTATATATTTTTAATTGTTACAAAAAAAATCCTATTTTTAAAATAAAAAAATTAAAGACGCTCCTACATCTCATCACCATCGGACTTCCGTTAAATAGTTATCAGAGACTCACCGAAATATTTCAACATCACCTAGTAGTTGCCGGAATATCATTGAAAATTTGACGAAGTATTGCTGGATTGTTTTGAACGTCACCGGAAGTCATTAAAATGTCTAGAATATTCATTGGACGTCAAGAATATCACCGGAGACTCACCGGAATGTCTAAAATATTGCCAAAAAAGAAAAAGAATAAACTGAGAAATTAAAGTGAAAAAAAATAGGAAAATGTACTAAATATTGATAAATTGAAATAAAAAAAAAACTAAGAACAACAAACGACAACAATGAAAAAAAATATATGTTATTTCTAATTTTTGTAGGGTTTAAGCAAATAATTTATAACATTCATCAAACTAAAAAGCAAACTTGAAATTGTAAAATATTACAGTTTCAAATATGATTCTATTAAGTAGTTATCCTTATTAATCAAATTGAAAGACATGTTATGAAATTGCAAAATTTTACAGTTCTAAAAAAAGTTATGAAACTGCAAAATTTTACAATCCTAAAGAATGATTCAATTCTGCACCAAAAAAACTGAAATTATAAAATTATAAAATTTTCACCGCTTGTAATTAAAACTAAAAAATAACTTCTTCAGAACTTGAAATTTTCTCCATTATAACAGGAAAATAAAAGCGTATAGTACAAAAAAAAAAGTATTAAAATTGAGAGATCGAAAGAAAGAGACCGAAAGAAAGAGATGCTTGTATTTCGACAACTATTTTTTAGTTTAGATCTAACCAGATCTAATGTAAATCTACTCAGATCTGACGTAAATCTGAGTAGATTTACATCAGATTTGAGTAGATCTACTCATCTTCTATACAGAAAACTCATCTCTTTTGCCATTGGTGAGCACAAAGTAAGGAGTTGGTGCTCGGTAGTTGCACGCGAACTCCAATCAATAGTGGTCGCCAGTCACCGGTGACCCTAGATTAAAAAGAGAAAGAAAAAAAAAGAAGGCGTAGTCGTTGTCATGGTCGTCGCCGATCAGAGAAAGAGAGAAACAGAGAGAAGCCAGGTGTAAGGAAAGATGAGAAGATAAATTAGTATAGGACTTTTGAGTCTATCTAAAAAGTTTTGGGACTAAATAGAATACACACTTTTCAAAAAAGAGTTGTGGGTAATTTGTTCTTTTTTTTATTTTAATTTTTTAATTAATTAATTAATTAATTTTTTGTGGATCTTGCTATGAATAGGTTATTGGCTTTAGTTAAGGATCAAATAATATTACAAATATTAAAATTTTAATATACATTTTATTATTTTGGTACACTTTTATATACTTTTCATATATTTCAATATATTTTTTAAGTAATCATGTTTTCTTTACATTTTAAGTAGTTCTATTTTAAATCTAACTTAAAATTGAATTTTTTTTTTTCAAAAAGTGCGATACGCATTCACCCATGTGAGCGAGTTTTATTTTCCGTGTATTTGTTGGGATTTATTTCTTTCACTTAGAAGTTTTTTTGCATTAATTATGTAATATATTTGATTTTCATTATTATTATGATTATAATTCTTTACGTCTCATCCTAATATCATATTTGAATAATTAAAAACTTCAAATTTGTTGTGCACCAAATGGTTTCTACAATTTCTTTAATGAGTAAAATTGGTATAGAAAAATTACTCACTACCCTATTTTCTTGATGTTTGTGGTAACAGTTGTATTGTGAGCACAAAAAATTTTATTAAGATGAGACGCATATGTGTGCACTTAGATTTACCCTTGTATCAGTGGGAAAAAAAAAAAATGTACCGTCGTGGTAATCTAGAAAAATGGTATGATCCCACATATAAATTTCGAATGTATACCGAATAAGAGTTGTGTGATTGAGATTGAATTTATATAATGTGAGGTCCATGTATAGAATAAATTTAAATCGCAAGATGATAATTCAACATAATTTCTGAATAGTTAAGTCTGAATTATATTACACTCAACTCTTTATGTATGTTCTTTCAAGCTTGATTTTCTAGATCCTACTCTTTCTCTGATCCCTACACTTTGCAAGTTATTAAGAAGTCAATTAAACGGTTTATAATGCTAATCCATGCTTTGCAGGTTATTTAGTAATAAGTAAGGTGTCAATTAAATGGTTCTCAATGCTAATCCATTCTTTGCAGGTTATTTAGTAATAAGTAAGATGTCAATTAAATGGTTCTCAATACTTATCTATACGATTTGCAAGTTTAATAAGTGAGATGTCAATTAATAAATGGTTTTCAATGCCTGTCTATAAACAGTGAATGAAATGCTATCAAATATGAGTGCTAAAATATAAATATTGTTTGGTAAATTGCAATTAGGGGATGTCTTGTTATGATCAAATGAATATAATTTTAAGCCTAAGAAATCTACAAGAAATTACACTTTATTTGCCACCAGCACTATCGCAACTACTAGCAACCCTCATTTTCAGAATTGCAACCAAACATAGAAACACGTTTTCCCTTGGAAAAGGGTTTCTGCAAAACAAACATAGCATTGCATATCAAAGAAATTCAAGAGTACATCTATCATATCCACTTCATATGCACTGTGCACAATTGTACAAATAAAATAAGAAAATTTTGTGTATGGTTGCCAAGTTACTGCTTTGTCATCCTTTCTCAATTTGATGAATAAGCTAGGACTTGCAGTTGCTGGCTTAGCCCACATTGAAAAATCTTCCATGAGAGAGAGAGAGAGAGAATCATAAAATGAAGATCAAGCAAGTCTACCACAAAAGCTTCAATCACATAGCTGTTTTTCCTCCTTGTTAAGCAAGCCACTAGCTATATCTGCTTCAGCACCATCAACACCCCACTCTCTCTCTTACCTCAAAAAAGATAGATAGGATATAATGTTCTCTTGCCACCTTAAAATACACCCTCTTACCTAACTTCATACTCACTTCCCATCTCACCCCACTCAATAAAAACCCAATTCCCTTGCACTACAACATGTACAACTCCTCTTCTTTCTCACTTCAAACCAGCTTTGCAAACTAAAAGAAAATCCAAAAAAATGTCGAAGCACCTTCTCTCACCATTACCACTCCTCCTGATCTTCCTCTGCACCCCCACAGTTTTTGCTCAGTCTCCAGCCCCCGCTCCAGCTGCTCAGCCTCCGCCACAATCACCAACTGCTCAGCCTCCAGCACCATCTCCGCTTGCTCAGACTTTGGTACCAGCTCCAGCAAAACGATCAGGTCCAACCAACATCACTGCAATCCTTGAAAAGGCCGGTCACTTTGTTACATTGATTCGGCTACTAAAGAGCACCCAATTGGACATCGAAATTTACAAAAAGCTCAATGACTCAAAACAAAGCCTAACCGTGTTTGCCCCAACTGACAATGCCTTTGGAAGCCTCAAAACAGGTGCTCTAAACTCATACAATGATCAGCAAAAGTTCCAGCTGGTAAAATTCCATTTCATCTCTTCTTTTCTTTCCGTCCCTGCATTCCAAACTGTGAGCAATCCAGTGAGCACAGAGGCTGGTAGTAACAGACTCTACCCACTAAATATAACCACGGCAGGTAATCAAGTGAACATATCAACTGGGATTGTTAACACAACAGTAACTGGCACAGTTTATACTGATAACCAGCTAGCAATATATCAGGTGGACCAAGTGCTCCTTCCATTGTCCTTTTTTGTAACTCCATCTCCATCACTAGCTCCGGCACCATCATTAAAGCCCGAGAAAGAAGCTCCGGCTCCAACGGGTTCAGGGTCCAGCACTGCTGAAGTTGCCACTAAATCTTCTGGTGCAATGCGTGTGATTCACCATCCACTCAATGCAATGTCCTTTGCAGGTTTTCTTTTTGCAGCATTGTCTTTATGTATTTGAGTTGTGAGACTTGAGATCTGGTTGATGTTGATTGTGTTGTGTGTACCGGTGATGTTTATGTTTTCACTTGAATCAAATACTTCCTTTTGAGTAAACTCCTCTCCCCTGCTTTCTTTCTTTTCGAAATTCCACATCCAATTGCTACTGATCTAGAACACTTGATCATTTGGCGACTGACTGGTTCCACAACCACTATGGAAATTTAAAAGCAAAATTTTGGTTACTCCAGAATCCAGATAAAATTAAGGACAAACTTTCCAACATAACTGAGATGCAATATTTCAAATTAGCACATCAGAAATCATATAATAATTATCTAATTGTGCATGATTCCTAACTTTACTTTGCAGACATAAAATCTCAAATCCAAAAAATGACACAAATGTCAGCATATCTAGGTCATCTCAAAAGAATTGACCAGGAATATTTTGAATTCATTAATCATCATTGTATAATGCATAGCCAAAACTGAACCACAAATGTAAAATGTTGTGAAGGAACATAGAAACCTTACCAAGTCCACCACCTTACCATCCCCGCCACTGCTGTAGCCGCAGACGTTGCCACCGCCACCATTTCCTTTCCACCACCACACCACCCCCTACCACCACTGTTGTTGCTGCCTCCACCGCCACTCAACAACCATCACAACTGCCCCCCTACAACTACCACTCACACCACCATTACCACAACACGACCACTAATACCGTAATTTTTAAGATGGCACCTAAATACAAAAAACGTTTTCCATAAAAAAAATTTGCAAAAAATTATTTTCCCCAAGATTTTTTTTTGGGCCAAAATAAATGGAGCATGAATCTATGGTAACATACAAATTGATGAGATAGATATCAAAAAGAGTTGGAAAATATTACATAAAAAAGAGGGAGACTTCCATTCCATGTATCTTTTACTCAATTGAGATATTATATAATGTAAGAATTGAATTGCAGACTAACTAAGAATTTAAGGTTCTATTTTGTATAATTGTACTGTCTGGTATTAGTTGTTAAAATGTTGCTAGGTATCAAACTAGTAGAAGCCCAGAGTTTCTTGTTGTGAAATTTAGGAGTTCTAATTAAAAGAGATCTGATATGACATATCAAGATTTTGTATCGTTTTCTACGTAAGTGAGTTATACACAATATGGAGAATGTATAATATAATACAAACGAATAAAAAAAGTTAACCCTAACTAAGAGTTAATGCAGGACGTACTTGTTAAGAGGGCTTATGGTAATTAAAAGTTAATTGTAACAAGATCTATTCCATAAAGGACAATGAAGACTAATTCTATGGGATAAGGTAGCTGAGGTCTATAGTATAAATGGAAGTGCTCTTTTAACAATTTGCACTCTAGTAAACTATGTTCTCACTCTGTCTCTCTAAATTCTAGTGAGTGTCAATAGTACATTTTTTTTCTCAAAGCTTGAATGCAGAATTGGATTTTACATTTAAGTATTTTTCCAACTATCTCTATGGATGGTAATTATATTTTGCACACTATACAAACACGATCATGAGCTTATGGGAATAATACTAGAATTTTAAATTCCTTTGCATTCAGCATCAAATCCAAATTAATTAAAATTCCTTTGCATTCATCATCAATTCCAAATTAACAAGTTCATTACACTGATTGATTCTTTTTTCTCTTTTTTCCTTCTAAAAAGTGGCTAGCTCATTTCGCAAAATGAAGATCGATGCTAACCTCAAAAAGCTTCAATCAAGTACTCAGCCGTTTCCACAAATCCTAAGCAAACCACTAGCTATCTGCTTCAGCACCATCAACACCCCACTACTCTTTTTCTCTCTTACCTTAAACAAGATATATATGCTACTAATGTTCTCTTGCCACCTTAAAATACACCCTCTTACCTAACTTCATACTCACTTCTCATCTCACCCCACTGTACTCAATAAATCCCAATTCCCTAGCAGCAAAACAAGTAGAACTCTTCTTTTTTCTCACTTCAAAGAAGCTTTGTATACTAAAAGAAAGTCCACAAAAATGTCGAAGCAGCTTCTCTCACCATTACCACTTCTACTGATCTTCCTCTGCTGCCCCACAGTTTTTGCTCAATCTCCAGCACAAGCTCCAGTTGCTCAGCCTCCACCACAAGCCCCAATTGCTCAGCCTCCAGGACAAGCTCCGCTTGCTCAGACTTTGGTACCAGCTCCAGTAAAACCATCAGGTCCAACCAACATCACTGCAATCCTTGAAAAGGCTGGTCACTTTGTTACATTGATTCGGCTACTAAAGAGCACCCAACTGGATACCGAAATTTACAAAAAGCTCAACAATTCAAAACAAAGCCTAACTGTGTTTGCCCCAACTGACAATGCCTTTGGTAACCTCAAAACAGGTGCTCTAAACTCGTACAACGATCAGCAAAAGTTTCAGCTGGTAAAATTCCATTTCATCTCTTCTTTCCTTTCTGTCCCTGCATTCCAAACTGTGAGCAATCCAGTGAGCACAGAGGCCGGTAGTAATGCACTGTACCCACTAAATATAACCACGGTGGGGAGTCAGGTGAACATATCAACTGGTATCGTTAACACAACAATATCCGCCACAATTTATTCTGATAACCAGCTAGCGGTATATCAGGTGGATCAGGTGCTCCTTCCATTATCTTTTTTTGTAACTCCGTCTCCATCGCCAGCTCCTGCACCATCAAAGCCCGAGAAAGAGGCCGCAGCTCCTTCAGGTTCAGAGTCAGTACCCACTACTGATGATGCTGCTGTTAAAGCTTCTGGCGCAATGCGCATGATTCATCATCCACTCAATGCAATGTCCATTACAGGTTTCCTTTTTGCAGCGCTCTCTATGTGTTTGAGTTGAGAGTTGGTTGATGTTGATTGTGTTCTATATACCAGTGCTATCATGTTTTCACTTAAATCAAATATTTCCTTTTGAGTAAACTCTCTCCCTCACACTGTCTCTCTTTCCAAAACCAGAGTAGTTGGGTTGGCTAAGCTATAATGGTGGGCATGCTTCCATTCATGTTGCGCAAAACTCCACATAGCTTTGTCCAGTTGCTATCACAGTAGTAGTAGCATGAAGGATGTGAGTTGAGGGGCAGCCACAACATAAGGCTATTGCCGCCTACATGCCTGATGGGATCCAGTCAATGATCAAAAAGACTTTGTCAATTGACGACTGAATTATTCCAGATCTAGATCCTATGGAAATTTTGAAGAGAAAATGTTGCTTACTCCCTGTAAAATGAAGGACCTTTCCAACATAACGGAGATACAATATTTCAAATTAGTGCATCAGAACTCACAATAATTATCCAATTGCGCATGATCCCTACCTTTATTTCACAGACAAAACTTAAACTAAATGAGCCAATTACAAATCCATAAAATATCACAAATCTCAGCATTTTCCTATATGTACCTATACAACACAAGTCCCAGCTAATATTTTTGAGCATGTGTAGTCTCATGTCCAACTAAAAGACCAAAATACCCATCATTATACCAGGGTAATGCAAACACAGACCAACATAAATCCCCTCCAAGTTCAACGATGGCCTTAAATCATTAAATTTCTTTTATGATATTGGTTTGCCCCCAAACACTGACCTCAGCTCCAGCTTCCTCGCCATTGGCAACATAGCTCACTATATCATGCTCAAAGCCGCCGAGCAAGACTTCAAGAAAGCAGTGATCAGTGAGGTGATTGATTGCTATACAACTGTTCTTCAGTGGGAATTAGGTTGTATTAATTCCATTAGTCCAAAATTGGACAAAATTTTGGGAGTGAAGTGTCCAGGATGATGGTGTTTGTCGGTTTTTTTTAAAATTTTTATTTTTAAAGTAGTGTTTGTTGGGGGTTTTGATCCATTGAAACACTGGCAAAGAAGATATCTGTTAAAATTCAATGTATAAAGAGAATTGTATAGAGAATGAATGATGTATTATTGATTGATGTTTAGATATGTTACAATGATTCCTATATATAGAAGAGTAGGTGGTAGTAGGTGGTAGGTGGAGTAGGTGAAGTGGAGGTGGTAGTGGTGTAGTGGGTTAGGTTTAGTGGAGTAGGTGAAAGTGGGTGAAGTAGGTGGAGAGTAGGTGGATTTTAAACTAAAATGTCAAAACAAACATAGGATGATTGGGCCCACGGATTAATAATCCCAATCCTATGCTTTAATCCTTCCAATCAAACATGCCACCAAGGTATTAGTTAGTCCCAAGGTATTAATAGTCCCTAGGCTATCTCTCAAAACAAACACTCCAATATACTAATCCCAAGGTACTAGTAATCCTAATCCCCTTGCTATAACCCAAAACAAACGGGGCCATACAACACAAGTCCCAGCTAATATTTTTGAGCATGTGTAGTCTCATGTCCAACTAAAAGACCAAAATACCCATCATTATACCAGGGTAATGCAAACACAGACCAACAAAAATCCCCTCCAAGTTCAACGATGGCCTTAACTCATTAAATTTCTTTTATGATATTGGTTTGCCCCCAAACACTGACCTCAGCTCCAGCTTCCTCGCCATTGGCAACATAGCTCACTATATCATGCTCAAAGCCGCCGAGCAAGACTTCAAGAAAGCGGCGATCACTGAGGTGATTGATTGCTATACAACTGTTCTTCAGTGGGAATTAGGTTGTATTAATTCCATGAGTCCAAAATTGGACAAAATTTTGGGAGTGAAGTGTCCAGGATGATGGTGTTTGTTGGTTTTTTTTTAAAATTTTTATTTTTAAAGTAGTGTTTGTTGGGGGGTTTTGATCCATTGAAACACTGGCAAAGAAGATATCAGAAGTGGTTGAAGAAGTCTGGAGGAATCTAAGTTATCTTCACAAATTTTAGAAATTTCTCAGTTTGAAATTGAGAAATTTCTTTGCTTTTTTTATACATAATTTAATATTCAATATGAATCATATTTGATAAATCTTGACAAACTAAAATAAAAAAATATTAATTTTAACCAAAAAGGATGTGTATCATGAAAGTTAATATTTTAAAGTTTGAAACAAAAAAAATAAAAAATAAAATTAATAGTCTGATATGTAAACACTCAACACACCACCACTCACATTGATGAACATTTAATTGAAGGGTAACACTATCCAAAAAATAGCCATTTAAAATAAGAACTTTTTTTTTTTTTTTGATCAACAACAAAATTTAATTTTATTGACTAATCAAAAGGAAGAAATGAGGAACTTTACATGTTAAAGAACTTAACCTCCCAAATAATATTTACTGTGGAACTTTACATGTTAAAGAACTTATGTTAGGATAAGTTCATATGGAGCGACTTTACACTAATGATTCCTAAAATCTATTCCGCAAAGGGCAAGAAAGACCAATTCTTGTGGGAAAACGTAGTGGAGGTCTATAAATGGAAGTTCCGTTATAGTAGTTAGCATTCTAGCAACAGTCTTCTCACTCTCTTTTTCTGCCTAAAATTCTACTGAATGTAAGAATACATTGTTTTCTCAAAGCTTGAATGCAAAATTGGATTTTGCGTTTAATTATCAATTTGCATATATTACAAACATGATCATGAGCTTGCAACTAAAATTTCAAATTCCTCTGTGTTCACCATCAATTCCAAACAATTCGTTACTCTGGTTGCTTCATTTTTCCTTTTCCTTCTTTCAAAAGAAAAAAAAAAGAAGGCTAGATCAATTTGCAATGAACAAACCTTGAAGCAACTTCGTCATCTGCAAAATAATAGTAGGCATGATCAAGTAGCAGCAATGCACAAGAAAATTCTACAACAAATTTTATGTGAAAAGAAATTCAGAGAAGTGTAGAAATAAAATATGAAATTTTTTTATGGGAGGTCATGTGGCTGCCCAGCTGAACCACATATCCTAGTTTCTGCCTTATCATCCCTTCCCATTTTGATGAATAAGCTAAAGGAGATTAACCACAGGGCTTAGTTTTATCCATTAATCTATGATTTCTTTGTTGAGACAAAATCATTGAGTTTCTATCACAAAGTACACCTAATGAACCCCATAGCATTGAGTAATTTGGTTGAAACTAGGCTTATGGACCACAATAATTATTAATTTATTTTAAAATGTGATTCCACTTCCGATTATAAATAGAATGAATTAAGGTTCCCATAGGAACTCAAAAGGAGGCAACCATTAGTTCACATCATGCCTATTGTTAAATGGATCTGGTACTTGTATCAAAATTTTGAAGAAGAAGCTTTCTTCATAAGGCTGTCCCAAGCAAAAAGCAAAATGAAGATCATTCAATACTACCCACAGAAGCTTCAATCACTTAGCTGTTCTTCCCCTATTGCCAAGAAAACCACTAGCTAGCTCCTTCAGCACCATCAACACCCCCACTACACTCTCTATCTCTACCTTAAACAATATAGCTAGAATATTAATGTTCTCTTGCCACCTTAAAATACAGCCTCTTACCTAACTTCACACTCACTTCCCATCTCACCCACTCAATAAAAACCCAATTCCTAGCAGCATAACCTACAGCATACTAAAAGCAAGTCCGCAAAAATGTTGAAGCAGCTTCTCTCAACGTTCCCACTTCTACTGATCTTCCTCTGCTGCCCCACAGTTTTTGCTCAGTCTCCAGCACAAGCTCCAGGTGCTCAGTCTCCACTCCCAGCAGCACAACCTCCAGTTGCTCAGTCTCCACTCCCAGCAGCACAAGCCCCAGTTGCTCAGTCTCTGGCACCAACTACAGCACCATCAGGTCCACCCAACATCACTGCAATCCTTGAGAAGGCCCGTCACTTCACTACACTGATTAGGGTACTAAAGAGTACCAAGTTGGATGATGAAATTACCATAAAGCTCAATGACTCAAGTCAAAGCCTAACCATGTTTGCCCCAACTGATAATGCCTTTGGTAAGCTCAAAAAAGGTATTCTAAACTCATATACTGATCAGCAAAAGTTTCAGCTGATAAAATTCCATCTCATCCCTTCTTTCCTTTCACTCCCTGCATTCCAAACCGTGAGTAATCCAATGAACACAGAGGCCGGTAGTAATGATCAGTACCCGATTAATATAACCACTGTGGGAAATCAGGTGAACATATCAACTGGGATCGTTAACACAACAATATCCGGCACAATTTATTCTGATAACCAGCTAGCGGTATATCAGGTGGACAAGGTGCTCCTTCCATTATATTTTTTTGTAACTCCATCCCCATCACCAGCTCCTACACCATCAAAGCCTGAGAAAAAGGCTCCATCTCCTTCAGGTTCAGAGTCAGTACCCACTACTGACAATGTTGCCATTACAGCTTCCAGTGCAATGCGTGTGATTCACCATGCACTCAATGCAATGATCTTTGCAGGTTTTCTTATTGCAGCATTGTCCTTATGTATTTGAGTTGAGAGCTGGATGATGTTGATTCTGTTCTGTGTACCAGTAGTATATTATGTTTACACTTAAATCAAATATTTCTTTTTGAGTAAACTCTCTCTTTCCAAAACCACAGGCAGACTGAGAGCAATTGGGTTGGCTAATCTATAATATGGGCAGCTTCTGTTCATGTTACACAACTCCACATAGCTCTGTCCGATTGCTAACTGACCAAAAACACTCAATCACTTGGCAACTGAATTATTCCAGAACTAGATCCTATTATTCTTATTGAAATTTGTAGAGAAAATTTTGCTTACTCCCTACAAAATTAAGGACCTTTCCAACATAACAGAAATGCAATATTTCAAATTAATGAATCAGAACTCATATAATAATTATCCAATTGTGCATGATTCCTACCATAACTTTGCAGACAAAAATCTTTAAACTAAATGATCCAACTACAAATACATAAAATAGCAGAAATCTCAGCAATATCTAGGTCAGCTCAAAAGAGTTGACCAAAATATTCCGAATTCATAAATCATTATTGTATAAAGAAAAGCCAAAACTGAACCACAAATGGAAAATGCTATGAAAGAATATAGAAACCATAACAACTCCATCTTGAAGAAGTTGCCACGGCTCTGATCATCTCTGTGTGCTTGGATATGGCTGGCAATGGTGCTAAAAGTGGCATTGGGTAATTACGCTTATGGGGTCATTTGTTAATTGGGTTTTTTGAAAATCGAAGTGGGTTTGGGGTTGAAAGAGATGGGTACAACTTACCACAAAAAGGAGAGAGATGGGAAATCTAAACTGCGTAAATCTCACTCAAACCTACAAATTGAATAGAGAGCGATGGAAAATTTTATATAAAAAAAATAGGGAGACTTCTGTGTCTTGTTGACTCAATTGGGACACTGTACACAATGGAAGAATTGAATTGCACAAAAACTAACTGAAGGTTTCATTTTCTATAGTCACACTAGTTGGAATTGGTCATGAAATGCTGCTAGCTAGGTGTCTCAGAGTTTCTTATTGGGAGCATTACAATTTCTAATTCAAGTTAAATTTAAAAGAGTTCCAATTGGAGGTATTAAGGCCATGTTTGGTTGTGTTTTCATTATGTTTTCTGCTTTCAATTTCAAGAAGATATTTTGTATCAGTTCCTATGATCCAGATAAGTGACTCATACATAATACGGACAATATCAACATGTAGTATGAAAGAACAAAAAGAGTTAATCCTAATTAAGACTTAATTCGAGACTTCCATTAATTAAAAGATAATTAAGGAGCTTTTTTTAATTAAAAGTTAATTGTGATAAAATCTACGGATATTGGATAGAGGTCCTATATAATGTGGTTATAAAACATTAAGTCCCACCTAATATTTTTTAATGTGAGAAGTCCTGCGTCCAGCTAAAAGACAAAATACTCATCATTATATTGCAGTAATGCAAACACAGACCAACATAAATTCCCTCCCAGTTCAACAATGGCCTTAAAAACATTAAAATTCCTCTCCGACAATAGTTTGCCTCCAAATGTCAACCTTAGCTCCCGCTTCCTCACTTGCAACAATATAGCCCACCATGTCACACTCAGTGCCGCTAAGTAGGACTTCAAGAAAGTGACGATCACTGAGGTGATTGAGATACAAGTTAAAACCATTCTTTAACGGGGAAGAGCACACCAAATCTGAAATTAGATTGCCAACATGCCATTGGTGAACATAGAGCACATGACCTAGACGTGGAGGGCATTTTTGCCTGAAGGTGAGGACTAATATATTGAGACTCTGAATATTTCCATGAGTTCAAAATTGGGTGGCAGTGAAGATCTTGACAGACAAAAACAAAAAATATCGATTTTAAAAGAAAAAAAAAATGTATAGAATGAAAGTTATCATATTTAAGTTTGAAACAAAGAAAAAAAAAATTACCATCTGACATGCAAACACTCTACTAACCGCCACTTACATTGATGAACACATTTAAATCAAGTGTAAAACTGTCCAAAAAATGGCGATTTACAAGAAGGACTTAACCTCCCAAGCAGTTTTTGCTATGGAGCTTTGTGTGTTAAGGAACTTATTTTAGGACTTATCCTTGTATAAGTTCATATGGAGGGACTTTACACTCATTATTCCTAAAATCTATTCCACAAAAACATGGAAGACCAGTCCTGCAGGATAAGGTAGTTGATGTATATATATGGAAGTGCTCTTATAGCAGTTAGCACTCTAGTAACAGTCTTCTCACTCTCCTTTTCTCTCTAAAATTCTAGTGAATGCTTACACATTTGCTTTCTCAAAGCTTGAATGCCGAATTAGATTTGTGTTTTAAGTATTCTTCCAAGTTCCAACTATCTTAATGGAAGATTGTTGTATTTTGCATATATTACAAACATGATTATGGCTTGTAATAAAATTTTAAATTCCTCTATGTTCACCATCAATTGGTTTGCTTCATTTTCCTTTTCCCTTTTTTTTTTTTCTAATAAAAATAAAGTTGGCTACATCATATTGCATTATCGAACAAACCTTGAAACAGCTTCATTATCAGTAAAATAATAGTAGGCATGACAAAGTGGTAGCAATGTACTAGAAAATTCTACAAAAAGATGTAGGTGAAGGAAATTCAAAAGTGTACAAATAAACTAACAAAATTTTCCACGGGAGGTCATGTGGTCGCCTTGTCATTCCTTCCCAATTTGATGAATAAGCTAAACATTAGCATTATCCATTAATCTATGATTTCTTTGTTGAGACGAAATCATTGAGTTTCTATCACAAAGTACCCCTATAGCATTGAACATTTTGGTTGAAACTAGGCTTATGGACCACAATAATTATTGTTATTTCTTTTTAATGGTTATTCCACTTTCAAATATAAACAAAATGAATTAAGGTTCCCCAAAGAATCCAACAGGAGGCAACCATTAGTTCACATCATGCCCATTGTTAAATGGATCTGGTACTTGTATCAAAATTCTGAAGAAGAAGCACTCTTCATAAGGCTGTCCCAAAAAAAAAGCAAAATGAAGATAACAATACTACCCACAAAAGCTTCAATCACTTACAGCTAGCTGCTTCAGCACCATCAATCTGTCTAGCTAGAATATTAATGTTCTCTTGCCACCTTAAAATACAGCCTCTTACCTAACTTCATACTCACTTCCCATCTCACCTCACTCAATAAAAACCCAATTCCCTTGCACCACAACCTGTAGAACTCTTCTTTCTTCTCGCTTCAAAGCAGTAATTCACCCATACTGCATATATACTAAGAGTGTCCACAAAAAATGTCGAAGCAGCTTCTCTTTCTCTCATCATTACTACTTCTACTGATCTTCCTCTGCTGCCCCATAGTTTTTGCTCAGTCTCCGGCACAAGCTCCAGTAGCTCAGTCTCCACTGCCAGCAGCACAACCTCCAGTTGCTCAGTCTCCACTGCCAGCAGCAAAAGCTCCAGTTGCTCCATCTATTGTGCCACCTCCAGCACCATCAGGTCCACCCAACATCACTGCAATCCTTGAGAAGGCCCGTCACTTCACTACATTGATTAGGCTGCTAAAGAGCACCAGGTTGGATAACGAAATTTACATAAAGCTCAATGACTCAAGTCAAAGCCTAACCATGTTTGCCCCAACTGATAATGCCTTTGGTAGCCTCAAAAAAGGTATTCTCAACTCATATAGTGATCAGCAAAAGTTTCAGCTGATAAAATTCCATCTTATCCCTTCTTTCCTTTCAATCCCTGCATTCCAAACTGTGAGTAATCCAATGAACACAGAGGCTGGTAGTAATGATCAGTACCCGATAAATATAACCACTGTGGGAAATCAGGTGAACATATCAACTGGGATCGTTAACACAACAATATCCGGCACAATTTATTCTGATAACCAGCTAGCGGTATATCAGGTGGACCAGGTGCTCCTTCCATTATATTTTTTTGTAACTCCATCTCCATCACCAGCTCCTACACCATCAAAGCCTGAGAAAAAGGCTCCATCTCCTTCAGGTTCAGAGTCAGTACCCACTACTGATAATGCTGCCATTACAGCTTCTGGTGCAATACCTGTGATTCACCATGCACTCAATGCAATGTTCTATGCAGGTGTTCTTATTGCAGCGTTTTCTTTATGTATTTGAGTTGAGAGCTGGTTGATCTTAATTGTGTTCTGTGTACCAGTGCTGCTTTGTTTTCACTTAAATCATATACTTTCTTTTGCGTATACTCCCTCTCTTTCTCTCTCTATGCAAAGCCATAGGCAGACTAAGAACAATTGGGTAATCTAAGCTATTCTGATGGGCATTCTTCTGTTCATGTTGCACAAAACTCCAATAACCCTTTCCATGATTGCTGGCTGAAAAAATAAAATGATTCCAGAACTCCTATGGAAATTTAAAGGGGAAATGCTACTAAGTCAAGATGAAACTAAGGACAGCCTTTCGAACACAACTGAGATGAAATATTTCAAATTATTGCATCAGAACTCATATAATTATTTTTCAATTGTGCATGATTCTGTTAGTTAGCATAGTTTACTTACCAACAAATATCACAGGGTTTTCATGTGTATTTTGATATTGACCAGTAGACTCAGAGAAAGGAAGGGCAATGAACACAAACAGTAGTGTTCAGGGGACTGGCTTCATCCTCACATTTTAAATTTCAGCTACATACTATGAAAATACATTTGCCAACACAAGCGCTTGTATATTTGCAAAAATTATAAGGACTGGGCCAACTAGGCAGGAGGATATCTTATTGTACAAGTTGTTTGCTGAATAATCTTCTTAAGACAATTCAGAGGAGACAAACACCAAGTCTTGAGAAATCATCAAAATATCTGAAGACACTCTGTTGAGAAAGAATAAGTAAAATATCTAGATGGGAATCCTCTAAATACCATATTCAATAATAAAATGGAATCCTCCAGTAAACCCTCTGAAGTGAATCGCCTCTTTTTGTCCATTGCCAAAGGGATTAAATCGCCCCTCCCCAAGTAAAAAAAAAATTAAAAAAATTGCTGGTCACATTCACAGGATGCAAGCCGAAAAGAACGCCAGCAAGAACCAAAACATAGTAAAGACAAGAAGAAAAACTAATTTTACTGCACCAAATCTCATATGCAGCATGTATTTCTCTCAGAATTTGACCTCTACTTCTTCTCTAATGGCTCCATAAGCTAAGCCCATCATGGGTACTTGTGTTCATCAGCAGCTCAGTATGATTAGTGTTACGGCTAGGTAGCATTATTAATTAAATATGCCTGAAATTTTGGTTATTCTAAATCAAGAAATTAAAATTCAACTCATAATTCTTTTTGATCTTACATTAACTCATAATTCAAGACTATAGAACATAAAAATACTTCATATTGGATCAAAGGAAGCTTGTAAGATCAAATTGCAATTACTGCTCCAACAACACTCCTCCTGTTCTGATTGAATGATTGTAATTTAAGCCTAAGGATCTACAACATTATATATGAAATAAATTCAAAGCATTTAACTCAACTGATAAACACAAATTGTACAAATTATATCATAAAAAAATTCTATCCTTTCCCAAATTCATGAATTAGGAGATCAAAATCATTCATTTGACAGAAATTAAGTGGAAAAAAACATGGATTGGATTTATCAATTCAATAGCATTCTTTGCAAAAACATGATGAATCAGAGACAGAATTGAAGCAACTAACTAAATCCAGTTGATGAAGAACGTAATGAACAAACTATCAAAGAAACTACAAAACCCACTACTTGAATTACATATAAAATGACAGAAACATGTAATACAATCCAAATTTTTAGAAAAGAATACAGAATTCAGAACTGGGCTTGAATAAACCTGGAACCAAAACAACAATTCACCTCTATCTCTCTCTAGCATGTGCAATGGGCAAGAAAGAGAAAGGGGTTTACAATTCAACTCATGCATTACATGGGTTCACAATTCAACTCATGCCTCCCAAATTCTAGTCTGTCTTTTCTTCGAACACCTTGAGTGCATTTCGAAAATTTACCTCATCCACCTACTTGTATGATAAATTTGGAGAAGATGTTCAATGATACCCACAAAAACTTCAATCAGGTACGTACCCATCTGGGTGTTTTCCCCATTGTCAAGCAATCACTGGTTGCTTCAACATCATCAACACCCTGATTCTCTCTGTCTCTCTCAACAAGAAAGCTACGATATGATTAATTCACATCTACCTTCAAAAAATACATCATTTTACCTAACTTGTTCACACCCAATTCCCATCTCACCTCACTCGATAAAACCCACAATTCTGCTACTGTAATGAAGTTGAAGCTGATTGTCTCTCTCTCTCTCTCTCCATTGCCTCCTCTGTTTCCAATTGTGGACTTTTTGTTGGTCCATAAACCCAAGAGCTAACAATAAGGTCGATCTGAGTAATAAATTATTTGGACGAGGGCATTAGAGCATCTCCGTGAACTTTTTTTTTTCACCAAATCTATCTGAGTAAAAAATGATTCATTTTATCAAATTTGATATTATTAGACCATCTTCAACAAAATTGATATCAAATTCAAATTTTGATGAAAAAGTTGTTGTTCACTGCTCCAACGGTTGCACCAAATGAATATCAGATTGAGATTTCATCAAAAAATTTATCAAACTGACGACGAAATACTGATTTCACCAAAACACTGTTGGTGACCGTTGGAGGGAGACCAACCGGTCAACCAGCCGGTTGCTCGGCCGGTTGACCAACTGGTCGACCAGTAAAAGATTCAAACAGTTCAGGAAAAAAATTTAAACCGTAAAATAAAAAAAAAAAAAAATTTTTGCCTAACCGGTCAACCGGCCGGTCGACCACCCGGTCGTCCCGAAAAAAGTTCAGAAAATTCAAAAAAAAGTTCAGACAATTCGCGAAAAAAAAAAAAAAAAAAATTTTGCCTAACCGGTCAACCGGCCGGTCGACCACCCGGTTGTCCCGGGATAGATTTGGTGAAAGGTGAACCGTTGGAGTGAGTGGCATCAAATTTGGTGAAATTGGTCATTTTTGACTCAGATTTGGTGAAAAATTTGAGTCACCGTTGGAGATCCTCTTACCTCCAATAGTGTGTATCAAATCTTGTATCAAATCCCGTGAGTCAACCGGTTGGTCGACCGGTAAGCATAAATATTTTTTTTAGAACGCTATGTTTCTGAAATTATTTGAATTGATGATAACCCGCCAATTATATCAATTGATGAAAACTTACCAATTGTTTGGTTGCTGTCAATGTCTTTGGCGTGAAAACCCACCAATTGAAATTGCCTTTCATTCTCATTGATTCATCCACCAGTTGCAGCTTTCATTCTCATAGATGCATTAATTGAAACAGTTTGGTGGTGGGTCGACCGGTTGGTTGACCGGCCAGTCAACCGGTAAGGCAAAAAAATATTTTTTTTTTTTTTGCCTGTTTGAACATTTTTTGACCGGTTTGAACCTATCTATTTCAAAGGAATTCGGTTGACCGGTTGGTCAACCGGCCGGGCAACCGGTTGGTTGACCAGGTCCTCCTTCCAACGGTCACCAACAGTGTTTTGGTGAAATCAGTATCTTGTCGTCCATTTGATCAATTATTTGATGAAATCTCAATCTGATATTGATTTGGTGCAACCGTTGGAGCTGTGAACAGTGACTTTTTCATCAAAATTTAAATTTGATATCAACTCTGATGAACCGTTGGAGATGGTCTTACAATTTTAGGTAAACGTAAACGTAAAATTATAATTTTATATTCATTCCTAACTTCCCCAACATCCACGTTTTCCCTACTTCCACCCCAGCAACCAGCTTCGATGCAATGGCCGCTTAAAATTTTTTGAGATCTTAAATTAAATATTAAAGTGAGATTTTTTTATTTTATTTTTATTTTTTACTATTTATTCTTTCGAAAGTTTGAACTGTCGATGATAAAAAAAAAAAATTAAAATTATTTTGTAAATCTTAAGTGACTCTCTAAATAATTTAGTGATCAAGTCACTTCTACTCTGACGGACGCCCTTTCCTTACCATCCTCAAACCCCAACAACCCTTTATGCCCATGTTCGCCTCTCCCTAGCCTACCCTCACCAATCCCGTTTCCTTCCCTAGCTCCTTCAACCCTTCTCCAACATTTCTCACCGTTGCCACTCCTACCTTCCGCAACCCCTTTTTACAACTCTTGCACTCTTTAGAATCTTTGTAATTGTGGCCCATTTATTAGTTTGTATCTTTTTTTGATATAACAAATATTACATCATTTAATAAAAAAAAAAGGTTCATAAAAAAAAAATCTATAAATCATGAAAGCTTATAGGAAAAGTTTATTTTGAAACAAATTATATGGTATAAATTTAAAATTATTAGAATGTGAGTCATATGTATTTTATGAGTATTTTTTTTAAGTTTGTAGAATTGATAAAAATAAAATAGTTTATTGAGATATTGTATTAGAGGGCTATTTTGAAAAGTAAATTAAAAATCACTTCCTAACTTTTAATTCACTTTTCTCTTTCACAAAAAAAGTCAAAAAAATAATTTTTAACCATCTTCCCAAAATAAAAACTAAAAAATGCTTGCTCATCACCTTTAGCAATTTAAAAGTAAATTCTCACCTTTGGTGATTCTCTAACACCCCCAACCCTCTCTCCCTCTCTCTCTCTCTCTCTCTCCAAGAAAATAAGGGTATGAATGTTCTCATGCCACCTTAGAAAGAATACATCCTTTCACCAACCTACATGCTCACTTCCCATCTCACCCCACTCAATAAAACCCCAATCCCCTTGCACTCTTCACCACAACCACCACCTCTCAAAAACTCCCTCTTATTTTCACTTAAAACACTCTCCTCACTCCAGACTCCCTACCAAACCAAAACTTCACCAAAAATGTCAAACCACCTTCTCCTCACTCTCCTCCTCATCTCCCTCCTCCACACCACCACATCATTATCTCAATCCCCAGCCCCCTCCCCGGCCCCTTCCGGCCCCCCAAACGTCATCGCCATCCTCAAAAAAGCCGGTCACTTCACCAAATTCATCCGACTCCTAAAACGAACCCAAATGGACGGTCGGATCTTCTCTCTCCTCAACAGCTCAAACCACCAACTCACCATCTTCGCGCCCACCGATCAAGCATTTGCTGACCTCCCTTCAGACACAATAAAGTCGTTAACTTACCAACAAAGGATCCAACTTGTTCAGTTCCACGTCCTCAATTCTTTGCTTTCCTACTCCGAGTTTCAAACTGTCAGCAATCCACTGAGCACTCAGGCGGGCGATAACAGCGGTTATCACTTCCCTCTCAACGTGACCATGACGGAGAATCAGGTCAACATCACCACCGGTATGGTCAACGCCTCGGTGTCCGGGACCGTGTACAGTGATGACCAGCTGGCGGTGTACGAGGTGGACCATGTTTTGCTTCCTTTGAGGTTTTATGTGTCGCCGCCACCGGCTCCGGCGCCACCAGTGAAGACGGTGGAGGCTCCGGCACCGGAGGTGTCTACTGATATTAAAGCTTCTGGTGGAGTGAGGGTGATTGGATATGGAGTTAGTGGAAGAATGTGGTTTGTTGTGGGTTGTGTTGTTGGAGTGTTTTGTTTTTGTGTTTGATGTTTGGGATGAGATGAGAGCGTTTGTGTTGTTGGTCACGTATATGATTTGGGTTTTGTGTAACCAATGGTGTTGTGTTTTCATTTAAATGATTAATTGATTTTCTTGAATTTGAATAAATTCTCTCCCTCTCAAACTATGGGAAGATCAAATCATTCAGAACTAAGAAATTAATTGGTTATTGGTTTTAAGTTAAACTAAAATGATATATAACTGTATTTTTTAAATCTTATTTTTAAAGAGATGATTGATTAATAATTAAAAAATATTTATTATTAATTATCAATCATTTTCTTAATACATTATTGGATTTAAAAATTGGGTCTAACTTTTAAGTTTCAATAACAATACTCTTAAGTTGTGTGAGTTTTTTAGTTTTTAGGTGGTAAGATTACAATGCATAAATTGTTAGCTATCAGAATATTTTACTTAAACTCTTTTTGTCACGACTCAAACCTGTCCCTAAAAATTAGGACATGACCGGCCTATGCTTAGGTCTCAAACAACATTTAAGAATATAATTTATCCAATAGTGGGGTCTAAAGCGAAAGCAAATAAATAATAGAATGCTCATCGAGCCGTACGTATATGCCAGGATCATTACACAACTTCCTGTAAACGGAGAAGTTCATATGCACAGTTCAGATATAAATACAATCTAAGGCAAGTATATGTACAAAGAGTTAATAATCCAAAAGTTACATGACCATAAAACGTTTATCAAAAGCCATCATGAACTTAACAAAAATGTGGAATTGAACTCCTTAAAAGGCAAAAAGACTCCACTTTGGACTTAACCAAAAATGTCCACAAAGGACGCCTGAAGCTGACCTAGGGCTGGCCTCCAAGCTGACCACCTACAAAACATAGATGAATACAAAATGAGCCAGACTTAGTGAATAATAATAATGTATGAAGGCATGTAAATAAGCATGTGTCTTGAAGAATATGTACGTATTACATGTATGTCCTTCTCAACAACACATTCCAACACGGTCTCGAACTCAATACTAATAGATGACCTCGGGCCCAAGAATAACAGATAATAGAACAGCCTTTGGCCCAATAATAACAGAATGGTCTCAAGCCCAATAATATACCATTGTGAACCAATGTGATACTTTAACAGATAAGCACAACATATCATTATACTATTATTATTCACAGTGATCCGATCGTGCAATGATTTCTTCCAGCAAGTGACCTACACATCACACACAAAAATTGATAAGTAATGCATTCTTTTCCTTGTGTTACGACCCACATCCGCCCTTATGGGTTGAGTATCGTAACCGGCCAGTAATCTGTGATTACCAAAGGTTTTCTTATACAAATAAAAAAATAATAATAATAATCGGGACTAGTGGAAACAATATTCAAAACTACTAATAATACAATGAGCTGCGCATCTACATGAACAAATATTTACATGCAAAAATGTTAATTTACTCATATTCAGTACATATATAACTTATAACTTAACATCTTATACATTACATATGCACATAACAAAAGTGTACTTCATAATCAAAAGTTTGACAACGGCCTTCTAGGCCTAGCCTCAACTTCGAGGCACTCAAAATCACGCGGTAGGCTTCAAAACGATGGCTTGACTAAAGACTCCTTTTAGACTTGTCCTCCAGAACGCTTTCCTATATATATATATAAACAATGAGTTAAAACCTAGTGAATAACATTAAAGTAAAGGGGTTAGTGAACGAATTCCAAATATATCATATCCGTAAAACAAATCATGACACAATCATTAATATAAGTTTCATATCAGAACATAACAAAATGGTACATCTCACAGAACATATCATATATCGTCTTCCGACTAGAGTAATCGATTCTGCATACCGATTAAACACATATCACCACAATGAAGTGGCTAACGAGATCTCGTAATCACATATATGTCATGGACCTGCATTAACATGCCGTCTCCCATGATTTGGGACTATCTATGGATGCCATAATAGATTTCAAACATAGGACATTTGTTCACGTAAACAAATATCATTTCAGAAATCATAACTTATTAAATCACATTTTGAACATAATTCATATGAACATATCTTTATAATAACGTTATTCACAGTGGGCTTCTAGAACGATTGGTTAAGCAGTCATTGACTCGTGACCTACAATCACAAATATGCATAGCACGATACACAATCATCTTAAACATATTTAGTTTACTTAAGCTCTAAGCTTTTAAATATAGATGACAAGAATTATAAAGTAATTGGATTATTAATTTCCTTTAATCTCTAATTAAAACATGTTTAGCCATGTATTAACCAAACTAATTAAATATAAACACTCTAATCATATAAACACCCTTATTAAGTTAACTAATTACGTAATTAAACTTAAATTAGGCTCATACACATTAAATTATAATTATTCAGTCATGTTTAAATTACTGAATCAGAAACTCATAAACATATAAATTTCGCAATTCAATTTCAATTTCAAGGCCCGAAACTTCTTCAAAAACAATTTGAATTCACAATTTCTAAGTTCAAACAAAAATCATGAGTTTAAAAAACCTCAAATTGTCATGAAAAAAATAAACCCTCACTTTATTATGTACATGTATGTAAATGTATAAAACATGCAAGTGTGAGCTCTAAAACTCAAGCTTCCATGGAATTCCCTCTCAATTGAAGACCCATGCAAGAATTCAAATGGATAAAAACAAATTTCCATAAAAACATGCCACGCATGTAGCTATGTTAAGTCACATCTTTCATTTTGTCCATTTTAAGCCATGCTTGTATTAACTCTTTATTATATGAGCAAAACTTCTAATTCCTCATCAATTCATTCTAATTTAAACTTTAAACTTGAAGATGATGTATAAGTTTCTATTCCAAAAATTAGTATGTAACGCTTATCTTGTTTTGATGGGTGGTTAGAATTCAAGACTAATATCTAGCTTCTCCCTTAATTCTTCTTCTTCTCTACCTCTCTTCCTTGTTCAGCTCTCTCTCTCTCTCTCTCTATCTCTCTCTCTACGTGTATAGTGCAATATAAGCCCACCAATCTCTTCTTAGTCAATTAATGAGTAGAATATTTAATTCTTATATTCTTATTCTTCAAAATTAACTTAGGCTAATAATGAATCACATTAATTAATATAAATCAAATTCCTTTAAATTAAATTAATCTTCATCATTTATAATCTTAATGGCACTAAATTAAATTATACTGATGTGTATTAAGTTCTAATTCCTATTCAATTATTTAATTCCAACCTATTAAAATTAGTGAATCAGACGAAATCAATTTTTTAATTATGCTTCCCGGATAACTCTAAAAATTTCAATTAACATATCCTTGTACTCAATTTTGATTTCTGAACCATTTATGTCTTCAATTTCAGTTTCAAAGCCGAGGTCACAACGGATAGTTTCTCAATTTAAATAGAGATTTACGCCGAATCAAATTAGATAATTCACAATTAATCATTTGACACATGTCATAATTAAAATTCAATACATAATTAATCCCTTATAATTACGATTAACATTTTGGGGTCGTCACAGTCTCCCAATCTTAAAAAGTTTGGTCCTCCAAACTTATATTACCTGGTACCAGGTACGGATCATACATTTCGGTCACATGTAATTCTCTTTTACCCTAACACAATAGTTCGCAGTTCAATTCAGTATTCATTCCAAAGTGCTATCACAGCCAAAGTCATTCACCAAAGTATAAAGCAATTCCAAATAACAATCCAGTGATCATGAATGTAAGTATTGAACTAGTTACTCGAGCAATAATCATAATTCACATGTCCCATAAACCAACTGTAAAATGCAGTAATATAGAAACAACCATTCTTTAAGTCAATCAATTACACGATAGCAGAAGTAGTACCAAAACAGTTATTTCTACGTCATAAATAATTCTCATATCCATAAATAAATCAGTTTGTTGTTGAGTTCACATAAAGTTTCCAAAGTAAGGCAAGTGTTCAAGTCAAATTCAAGTTCCCAGTCTGTCCTTTCCTTTAACAAACATACTTTGGTCAGTCACTTACAGTCAATTCATAATTTTCCCTATAAACCAAAATCAAGTCAAATAGAGATTCTATCAATACAGGTTTTTCTAAATCACATTTAACAAAATTTTTCCCCATCACTCTCTTTAAAATGCAGTTCTATCAGTCACAATTAAGTCATTATGGGTACTTAGGGAATAGTTTCTCAATTTGGTCTATGTTCATTAGTTCCCAACTATAATATATTCCCATATCCATTCATTTCAATATAATTCGGTTTATCATGCTTAATTGTCCCGATACAGTTTTAAACATTTCCATAGCATAGGTTATATTCCAAATCTATTGAGTTTTAAGGGTATTCAATATTTATCCATCAATTCTATATTCTATTAATTTCACATTGGTAACAAGCAGAGCATAACGCATGAGTTCATGATTCTCATAGTTTAGCTGAGTTAGTTAACACGGTTACATCTTGCATATAAATAAGACATTAGTTGTCTTAGTGTTTCGATAGTTTTCTGACACTAGGGTGTAAACCCTTCCCTGTCTAAGATTACTTTCCTCTGCAATAGTAGTGGCATTTGTTTCTAGTACCGCACGTACTTTTATTTCAGAATGCTCCAATTGTCTCCCTTGTTTTCCGCACGTACGGCTGTGAGCCCCGCACGTGCAGTTATGCATCTCGCACGTGCGGTCCTGAGCTCTGTTTGAGCAGTCCGAACATTCAACAATTTCAGCTTTCCAAAGGCACCTCAAGGCTCCAATTCAAACAATTTTATTCCAAAAAACATAGTATATGATTATAGTAAACATGAATCCTAAGCCCAAGTAATTCATAACTTATTTTAATTGCACATTTACAACTTAAATTACCACATTTCACTCATTTCTTCATCTTTTCATGATCTATCAAACATTTACACAAACATATATACATATATGAGGTCAAGCATGCAAACACTAAAAATTAGAAGGTGATTCCTCTCAAGCTACTCAAAACAAGCTCAAAATACAAGGATAAGCTCTCAAATCAAACAAATACAATGAGTCTTTATGAATTCCATGGATAACTCCTCAAGCAAACTCTTTATTTCAAAATCCT